CGTCGTCGTCGGTCGTCGACCGTCGTCGTCGTCGTCGTCGTCGTCGTCGTCGTCGTCGTCGTCGTCGTCGTCGTCGTCGTCGTCGTCGTCGTCGTCGTCTGTCGTCGTCGTCGTCGTCAATCACCGTCGCCGGTCGTCGTCGCCGATCGTCGATCGCCCTCGAGCCTCCTCCTCTCTCCCCCCCTCCTCCCCTCCACTCCTCCTCCCCGCCTCCTTCTCCTTCTCCTCTTCCTTCTCCTCCTCCTCCTCCTCCTCCTCCTCCTCCTCCTTCGCCCTCTCCGTCTCTTCCGCGCGGAAGAAATCCAACAACATCTCGCGCAAATCAGCGAACTATGGCCCTCTGGGCCTTTTTGCACGTCCATTTCGGGCCTTTTGGGGCCGTCTTAGGGCCCTCTTGGGCGTCCTGGGAACCAGGAGATCATGTTTCTGGGGAGGCTTCTGGGAAAATGATTTCGAACGAGGCCCTCTTGGGCCTCCCTGAGGCCGTGTTGGGAGCCTCCTGGGCCAACTTTGGGGCCTCTTGGGCCGTCACGGGGGGTCCGTAAGCCTCACAGGACGACCCTTTTGGACCGTCTTGGGCCCTCTTGGGTCTCTCTTGGGCTGTCTTGGGGCTCGGGGGCGTCTGGGGCACTGTGAGGACCAAGCAAGCAAGTATGCTGAAAACGTACGTTGTACAACGGGAATGGGCCGATGTTTGCCTCTTGAAGGCCCTCTTCGGCCAGCTTCAAACCATCTCGGGCCCTCTTGAGGCGCTCTTGGACGTCTTGGGGCCCTCTTGGGCCTCGCTGAGGCTGTCGGACAGCGTCGCCGCCGTCGGCGTGGCCGTCGTCGTCGTCGTCGTCGTCGTCGATCGGCGACGTCGACTGTTGTCACCGTCGTCTATCGTCGTCGTCGTCGGTCGTCGACCGTCGTCGTCGTCGTCGTCGTCGTCAATCACCGTCGCCGGTCGTCGTCGCCTATCGTCGATCGCCCTCGAGCCTCCTCCTCTCTCCCCCCCTCCTCCCCTCCACTCCTCCTCCCCGCCTCCTCCTCCTCCTTCTCCTCTTCCTTTTCCTCCTCCTCCTCCTCCTCCTCCTCCTCCTTCGCCCTCTCCGTCTCCTCTGCGCGGAAGAAATCCAACAACATCTCGCGCAAATCAACGAACTATGGCCGTCCGGGCCTTTTTGAATGTCCTTTTAATGCCCTTTTGGGGCCGTCCTGGGGCCCTCTTGGGCGTCCTAGAAGCCCGGAAATCATGTTCCTGGAGAGGCTTCCGGGAACATGATTTCGAACGAGGCCCTCTTGGGCCTTGCTGAGGCCGTCTTGGGGGCCTCCTGGGCCGGCTTTGGGGCCTCTTGGGCCGTCTTTGGGGGGTTCTGTGAGCCTCACAGGACGACCCGTTTGGGCCGTCGTGGGCCCTCTTTGGTCTCTCTTGGGCTGTCTTGGGGCTCGGGGGCGTCTGGGGCACTGTGAGGACCAAGCAAACGAGTATGCTGAAAATGCATGCTTCACAAATGGGAATGGGCCGGTGTTTGCCTCTTGAAGACCCTCTTGGGGCCCTCTTCGGCCATCTTCAAGCCATCTCGGGCCCTGTTGTGGCGCTCTTGAGCGTCTTGGGGCCCTCTTGGGTCTCGCTGAGGCTGTCTTGTGGGTCTCTTGGGCTGTCTTTGGGGCCTCATGGGCCGTCTTGGGCGGGTTCGTGGACCCCACAGGACGCCCGGGGCGGCCATGCCAACCGGTGGCACCACCCCACCCCCGCCCCCGGGCCCCGTCCGTCTGTCCTACTGCTCCTCTCCAAACCCTCGTTCCCTAACCTCCCGATCATGTTCCCGGACCCCCATCCCTTCCCCCCAGAGCACCGCAGCGGTAGGAAAGCGTTCCGAAACGGTGAGATGTTCCCGGAAAGCGTTCAAGAATATGAATCGTATTTCGTCCAAGGCGCCTCGGAAGGCGCAGAATACTCCTCCAAGGCGCGGAATCATGTTCCAGGACCGCCTTCTGGGAACATGATGGGGACGACCTCCTGAGGGCCTCCAGTGGGCCTCTTGGGGGCCTCTCGGAGGCCTGTGCGGCTCTCCTGGAAACGTCTTGGGGCGCGCTCAGGGCAATTTTTGGGCATCTTGAGGGCCTCTCGGGGGCCTCCGGGGAGGCTCTTGGGGGCCTCTTTGGGGCCTCTTGGGGCCTCGCGGGGCCCTCTTGGGGCCCGCTGGGCTCGCTTAGGCAGTCTTGAAGCCCTGTCGGGGCTCTCCTGGAACCGTCTTGGGCGGCTCCTGGGCCATCTTCGGGCTCTCCTGGGCCGTCTTGGGACGATTTTGGGGGTCTCTTGGGCCGTCTTGGGGCGGTCTTGGGGGCCTCTTCGGCCGTCTAGAAGCGGTTTTGGGAGACTCTTGGACGGTCTTGGAGCGTCGGAACCCTGAAAAAGCGAAAAGGTCCAAAGCCTCGAACAAAAACAATAAAAAACAATCAACGATTTGGGCTTGTCTCGGCTCTCTTGGGAGGCCTCTTGGGATGCCTTCGGGGCCTCATGGAGCTCTCTTGGAACGTCTTCGGGGCTTCCTGGCCATTCCTGAGGCTATCTATACGCGTCTTGGAGCGCTCGCGGGCCGTCTTCGGCGGTCTCGAACTGTTCCTGGCGGTCCCAGGGGCCCTCCGGGACGCTTCGGACGCTCCCGGGGGCGCCCTGCACCCCCCATGGAGATTACAGGCACCGCCCCGGGCCGCCCCCGGGCCCGACTCCGATATATATATATATATATATATATATATATATATATATATATATAGGAAACATACGTAAGACATGTAGGATTGTGTACACAGGAGAAGGACAAGCTATAGAAACATACGTACGTCGTCCAAGGCGCCTCGGAAGGCGCCTCGGAAGGCGCAGAATACTCCTCCAAGGCGCGGAATCATGTTCCCGGACCGCCTTCCGGGAACATGATGGGGACGACCTCCTGAGGGCCTCCAGTGGGCCTCTTGGGGGCCTCTCGGAGGCCTGTGGGGCTCTCCTGGAAACGTCTTGGGGCGCGCTCAGGGCCATTTTTGGGCATCTTGGGGGCCTCTCGGGGGCCTCCGGGGAGGCTCTTGGGGGCCTCTTTGGGGCCTCTTGGGGCCTCGCGGGGCCCTCTTGGGGCCCGCTGGGCTCGCTTAGGCAGTCTTGAAGCCCTGTCGGGGCACTCCTGGAACCGTCTTGGGCGGCTCCTGGGCCATCTTGGGGCTCTCCTGGGCCGTCTTGGGACGATTTTGGGGGTCTCTTGGGCCGTCTTGGGGCGGTCTTGGGGGCCTCTTCGGCCGTCTAGAAACGGTTTTGGGAGACTCTTGGGCGGCCTTGGAGCGTCGGAACCCCGAAAAAGCGAGAAGGCCAAAAACATCGAAAAAACTGCACAAATCAACGATTTTGGCTTGTCGGGGCTCTCTTGGGATGCCTCTTGGGATGCCTTCGGGGCCTCATGGAGCTCTCTTGGAACGTCTTCGGGGCTTCCTGGCCATTCCTGAGGCTATCTATGCGCGTCTTGGAGCGCTCGCGGGCCGTCTTCAGCGGTCTCGAACTCTTCCTGGCAGTCCCAGGGGCCCTCCGGGACGCTTCGGACGCTCCCGGGGGCGCCCTGCACACCCCATGGAGATGACAGGCACCGCCCCGGGGCCCCACTCCGATCTATATATATATATATATATATATATATACATACACACACATTTATATATATACACACACTACTTTGGTGCTTGGCAACGTTTGGCGTTTGCTCATTTTCGGATTTCCGGCGGCCCAAGACGGCTCCAGAGGCCACCAAAGTGGCCCCCAGAGCGCCCACGATGCCACCGAGATGGCCCCCTGACAGCCCAAGAGACTCCCAAGAGGGCCACAAGACGGCCCAAGAGGCCTCCAAGACGAACAAGACCTGGCCCAAGATGGCCTCCAAGACGGCCATGAAGCGCTTCAAGAGGGCCCCAAGTCGGCCCAGACGGGCCTCAGGGGAGCACATCGTCCGATAGCTTGGCCGAGCTCCAGCCGCCACATTCGGCTACATAGGCGCTTCCACACATCTTCGATCCGCCGCCACCTGTGGCTTGCCACAGGGGAACACGGCGTGCCAAATGTGAGGCTGTTTGGGTCCTTTGAAAAGGTTCTCAGTGGGGTCTCGGCCCAGCCCGCCGGCCGCGCGGAAAGCCAAGGCGATGTGGGAGGCAAGACCCCTGACGCCTCGAAGACGGCGACGATGGCCCGAGATGGCCTCCACGAGGGTCCTAAGACGCCTCCAGATAGCCCTACTGCAGTATCTTCTCCAAACGGCCGAAGAGGCCCCCCAAGACGCCACACGAGGGCTCCGCGAGGAACTCCGGGAGGCCCAAATCACTTACTTCCTCTACGTGTTCATTGATTTCAGCATTCTCGCCTTCTCGGGTTTCCGGCGCGCTCCAGGATGGCTCCGTAGGCTCCCAAGATCGCCATAAGACGGCCCGAGAGGCCCCAAAGAGGCCCGCCAGACTGCCCAGAGAGGGTCGCAAGGCGGCCTCCAAAGGCCAAGAGGTTCCTCAGAGGCCCCCAAGAGGCCCCAGGAGGCCCCCCAAAGGCCCTCAGAGGCCCCTCAGAGGTCCCCCAAAGCTCCCAGGAAGCCCCCACGAGGCCCCACGAGGGCCTCAAGAAGCCGCCTCTCCTTCTTCGTATGTTTCTTCTTCTTCTTATTCTTCTTATTAGTATTATTAGTATTATTATTATTCCGCCTCCTCCTCCTCATCATTATCCTCCTTCTTCCTCCTCGTCTCTTTCTCCTCCCTGTCCTCCTCCTTCCTCTCCCTCTCCCAAAGATTCCCTGTGGGAACACAGATTCCAATAACTTGGCCAGGGTTCGGTCCAACCTTCGGACGCATGGGCGTTTCCCAAAGTCAGGAGGCGGCGGTGATTCGCCGTAGGCGTCTTCAATGTGCCATCACCTCTTATACGCGATGTGCACGTAGCAGCTCCAACCAACTTATGGTCGACATGAGGACGACCGCCCGTCGAGTCCTGAGCTCTCTCAGCTCTTATCTCGGCCGTGGCCTTCCTGAGCTCCTCGAGGAGGTTCCGGCCGGGTGCGGCCGCCTGGCGATCGCGGGCCAACTCTCACACAACGTCTTGGTGAGAATTGCCACCATACAGAAGGGATGCTGAAATAAGGAACGCTCGATAAGGAACGAAACCCTGTTTGGCGCAAACAGCGCCTGGGTGCACGAGGAGGGCTAGAGGAACAACCACGGAATGGCCTAAGGAACAGCGAGCCCATTCCGAATACAAAGCGAGCCTCATTTCATCGTCTTGATTGTAACTGCAAGCATTACCGGAGCAGCCTGGGTTAGTCTGCAATCCGTTCCCCATTACGTGCAAGGGCTCCTTTTGATGGGGGGCTCGAATCAGACATGGAGACTGGTGCTGGCCAACGTGGCTTGGGCGTCATACTCCGCCGACGCCTGCCCAGAGGAAGCGCATTGCTACGTACCCCGACATTGGCACTAAGGCACCAAGAGACAGAGCAGCTCGATCTGCATAAAATCATGAAAGACCTGCGCCGAACATCCAACACGTTGTCAGAGCTGTTGGGACATCCCCTCATGAACCCATGGACATGCCATCGCACGTTCGACTCCGACTTATGCGTACTTTCAGGGTGTCTCTCTTGGCGGCAAGTTTTTTTTGGGGGGGGCACGGTCGCCCGACCAGTTTCACAGAACCTCGTCTACCTGCTCGCAGCCTCCCTCGCCGCAACGCGGGCGCGGATGGCCTCCGAGCATGGTAGCGGGGCAGCAGAGGCTGAAACATCACCCCTGCGTGCAACCTCAAGGACCACTGTTGCCTCTTCGCGCCCAACCTTGTCTTCAGGTTCGGCGCGCGAAACAGAAACGTTGCGCGGAGGGTGAAGGCCCCGTCGCAGCCGCGACAAGACCTGCCCTCCACTAGTATTGCTGCCTGGCTTGCACAATGCTGCCAGGCCCTGAGCTTGTGTTGCGAGTACGCCCCACGCGTCAGGTAAAAGAACAAGGGGGGCTCCTCGTCGCCCACTTGGGTACTCGCGAGCACGTGGCCATGCTCAGCGCAGACACTAACAACTCGGCCACTCGCTCAGGGACACCTCCACATCCTAGCTCGGGCCTCTCCCGGAGTGATCCTAAGCACTGCGTGCACCTAAACCCCATAAGGACCTCTCCCAGACATGCCACGACTTGGCCTTCTCGAAGACCTTCATGGGTCTCACACGCCCAGGGGGTCTCTGGTGGGGGGCGCGAGGGAAGAGCGGCAACGCTGCCGCCATCATACGCGCAGTAAGCTCAATCCGATGGATGCGATGGTTAAGCTGCTGGTTCTCGGCCTCGGAGGGACGCGCGTGGATCTCGAGCGCCCGTTTGGCCTCAAGGTCCGCCCTCCAGTTGGCCTGTCCTGCCTTGCGCTCGGGCTCCGGAAGCATACCGATTTCCTCCGACTTCCTATGGGCAGGCGTGTGAACAGCTGGGGCAAACTTGTTGTCATGCGCATGGATCAGGGCACCTCGCCTTAACCCTCCGTAGCGCTGCTTTGGGGAGGTCTGTTCCATGGGGCTCTTGTTGTGCAACCGTGCGGCACTCATACAGTCACTGAAACATTGCAGTCCGAACTGCGGCGCGAAGATGGGCAGTGGCGCCAACTGCAGCTGCTCCGCAGCCTGGCTGGTCTGCGGCAGTGAGGGGCGCACAGCTCCACGGGCAACGTAACGCTGGTTGCCCTCCTCGTCAAGGAAAACCCACGAGTGCGCTGGCCTCGACAACTCCGAAATCGCGTGCGGCGCACAAGGCCCGCCCCCAGCATGATACAGCCCAGTACAATCGAACACATTCCAATATACCTCCTCCCCTTGACCATCATATAGCACAAGCACGTGGTCATCGCTCGCGCTCCGCGAAATAGGGCGCTCCATCTTGAGCCCCGTGAAGAATTCGCCATCGCTGCTGAAAGCGTTTCGGCAGAAACCACCTGGAATCTTCGCCTCTCCCCTCGCAGCGACGACGTCAGCGCGCTGGCGCTCGCACGGGCGGCGCCCTACAGAGTCGGGCTCCTGGCGCGAAGGGCAGCGGCCAAGACAAAGGTGTCCTGACTTCTGGGCGCGGCCCTCAGTCCAAAGCCCTTCGCACAACAAACAAATAAAACAACATAAAAAAATCTTGCCCGCGTACTTACCTTGGGCATTCAGCCCAATCCCTTTGGTTCGCGATTTAACGATTCCCCGCGCCGGCTCGACGCAAACGCGAGCCCCAGGGCCTCAAACAAGTTTGGCCGCCAAAATCCGCTCATGGCGTCGCTGGGCACCTCGCTGCAAAAGCAAAACCACCATGGACGGGGTGGTGCACACTAAACTGTGCTCTACCTCCTTATCGTCGACCCAGTCCAGGGGCGAAACAGCCTTCCAACCTATTCGCTCGAGAGAGAGAGAGGTGCATGCGGCTGATAGGGCATGTCGATTTGTCCCAAGTTGGTCCTTCCCTCTTGACCTTTCTCCACATGCTGCACAAATCCTTGGCCGAAAAAGCTGCGCGTTCAGGCTTGGTGATCGCGCGCCACGCGGCCACGGCCCAGGCGATGGCGGGCGCGACCATGCTCCTCCAGAGCGGGCCACCCGCGAGCGCAATCTTCGCGCGAGTGGAAATGCCAGCGCGCCTCGGGGCCTGAAAAGAGAGGAGCGCACTGTGCGCGCGCTTAAGCTCCGCACCGGCCATGCCGACGATGGTATCCCCGAACGTGAGAGCAGGCTTAACCCCCGCCGTGCCAATCTTACACATGCGGCCCCTGTCTCGGGGCAACGCTCTCTGGTATCTCTTAAAGGTTATATGCCTCTGAAGCGTGTCCTGGACCCGTTTACGCCTCCGGGCCAAATGCCCCTTGGCACTCCTGCGGCCCCCAGGGGCCAAATCGCAGCACAGGGAGACGACGCCAAGCCAGGATCCCGAGGCGTTCCCCAGGGCAACGAGCAGTCCCGCGACCCGAGGCGACAGTCATCAGTTTACCAGGGGCCAAGCTCACCCTCAACTCCTTGACGAAAACGTTCTGGAGATCACTGGCCGCCGCGGCAAGGGACACAAGCACCTTCGCCCGCGGGCCATAGCAACTAACCATGTCATCGCAAATGTACGACGACAGATCGACAGCATGATTGCGCGCCACGAACCCGTCTAAAAGCGCCATGGCGTAGACGCACACAACAATGTCATTGACGCACGCCCCAGCTGGCAAGCCACTTGAGGCGTGCTGCATCGCCAGGCTGTGGTCCGTTCCTAATCGCAGGATGCGAGGTCCTCTCTAAACATTGTTCTCCATCTTGGCCACTATCGGCTCAGGCCCAGCATCCAGGCTTCGTTCTCTCAATGTTTGCACATCGCAACTTTCATCGTACTTCGCGCCGTGCCAAGAGAACCCCGCCACGACCCCTCCTCCTTCCACCTGGGCTTCCACAACAAATCTTTGGCTCGTGTTAGGCAGGTCCTTCGCATTCCGCCCCAGCCAGACCCACCCAACCCAGACGCGCACCTCATCTTCCACCTTCGTCTTGGGGGCCTGCAGCACAGGGGCCAATTGAGCCCGCAGGGGAAGACCTTTCTTACCTTTCTTGCGGATCGAGGCGTCGAGCCTAGTCTCCAACTCAAGCTCCATCGCATTCGAGAAAGTTTCCCAAGCCTCACCCAGCGCATCCCAGGCGGCGCTAACACCCTGGTGATCGGCGACGAGGTCGGCCGCTTCGGCCGCAGCCCTAGCCTCAGTCCAATCATAGGGTTGTCTGGAGGGCCCGAAAGGAAGGTCCGTAGAGAGCCTTTGGTGACTGGTGTAAACTAACTGGTGCAACTTGATAGCCCCTGGCCTGATGTGAAGCTGCACAGGGCGATGGGGCCGCTTGGCCCACTGGCTGCTCACCGTAATTTGGTGCACCAGCTTACTGAAGGCCGCCGCTGCCACGAAATAATCGATGCACGTGTTAGCCTCGGGTGTGACGCACGTCTGTGTCACAGACTGCAGGATTAGCATGCCCGCCTTCCGCGGGATGCCTGACATCTCTAAGCACGCTGAGCCGAAGTTCCAGTCGGCCCCGAGCTAAATGAGCTCCTTCCATCACCTGCCCTGTCATCTTAAGTAGGTGTAGGTTTCTCTGACTCAACCCTTCCCCCGTGTATATGTACGCACTGCCTACCAACAGTGACGGCCACCCAGGCAGATCAACCATGGCAAAGAGAAGTCTGTGAGGTACAGCAACGCCTCGGGCCAGTCCGTCTGGCCATGTCAACCCGACTGTGACTCTGGCAAAGATGGCATCTCCAGCTTAAGTCTGCCCCTGCGCCCAAACAGTCGATGGCGAGCACAACATGTTCCACCCCAGACTATTGGCCGCACTGGTCCGAGCACCCAGGGTTTCATCCGTGATCCAACTTCCTGCGCAAACAACTTATTGGTGGCAAATTCTCTCCCCATCTCGGGGGGAAAAAAACACGACATGCATTACACCGGAAATTCAGCATTACGTGACTCACACGCCCAGGTCGATCTGGACTCTTGACAGGAGTCCACGCGCGCAGAGGGTGTCTTTTGAACGACAATCTCCAGCGGCCACGCCATGTTACACCCGTGCGTGTGTTGGAGCCCTCAGCGAGGCTCTTGGAAAAACACCCGCCGCTGAGCTCAACGACGCAGCAGCTCTTTGACAACGCGGTCGCTATCCCAGCGAAGAGCTGAGGTCCTCAGCTAGGAGGTCAAAATGCTTCCTCTGACTTTGCAGGATGCAATCTTCGTGTCAATTGTCGGGATGCCAAACCCAAGCAGTCCGGCATGGAATCAATCAGGCCAGAGCTGCGGCTAACGTGCTCAGACTTCCTGTGGGTTTGAAGTGCGTGCCAAGGCAGCTGTTCTGGATTTCAGAGTCGAGCTTTTGGAAACCTGGAGACTCGGCCGTCCACAATCGAACATCTACCCAGAACGGATACACGTGAGAGAGGCCCCGGGCAGGAGTGACCTTTGGTGCGCGGCCTGAGGGAGCCGCGTGGGGGCCGAATCCAAGCGCGCAAGCCAGTGCTGGGGTGGCCCCGGTTAGAGGC